TTCTCAAGAGTAGAATTGCATTGCAAGTTGCAAGAAAAATTGCACCGTGTAACATGGCCTTTATGGCTTTATTATTCAAGGCGATTTAATAGAGATTCTAATATTGCTCATTCTAGAGGTCAGCAATTCAGTTCGTCAACAACCACGGCAATGACGGCATGTTATTTACTGAGGAATGGCATGGCCATGGCCTAAATAACGGTATGGAATTAATGACTTCATTTTACTTACCAGCAATTGATAAACTATTTATTACAAGATACAATTGTTAGTACTCTATACGTAAAATCTGCCTATGAATAAACTTTTTTGAAGTATAGACCCTACTGTGCCACTACGAGCACTGCAGTTTGAAGTATTTCTAAATCATGCTCAGTTACATGTTACACGCGATTAATTGGATACTTATTAAAGTAATGGAAGCGCATGCTTGCATCTAACTTGGCATTTACAATAAAATCTCATCGGCTTGGTGCTTATTATCAGAAAGAAATGAAGCCATAGCCATAGGTATCGATTTAGTATAAAATTATCGAAACATGCATCATTATAGATACGACGCACTGAGAGGAATACTCGGATATGTGTTACGTTCCTGTCAAAATGCATACTTCTCTCAATTTATGTTGGAGTGACAGAATTTTCAAATTTTGAAAATTGTCCTTGACAAATTTGTGTCCAATTATTTTGTGATACTTTGGGTCACGGTGACCTCCAAAGGGGAATGATTTTTAGGCGGTGGCACGTAGTGGATTGCCAATTTGCCATGGTTATAGCCTTTCACCATGGGGCGTAGCATTCATAAGTGTACTATAATGTTGTCCTGGTGCCTTGTTTCAGTTGGATGAAATTTGTCTTGGTTGTAAATTAAGTTGTGTCATTCTGGGAGCCAAGATTTAAATCAAGGGGACCGTTGAAAAATTAATTCTGTTTCGCTTCACAGACTTGTTCCACAATTGCTTTTAGCCTTTTACCCCCTACCCTATATCTCAGACATTTTAAAGTTTAGCTAGCACAGAAACGTCTGTTTTCTTTCCAATGATTTAATAATGAATATTCTTATCAAATTACTTCGCCAATGAACTCATCAGATTGGTCGTTTTTTAAGTCCATTTAATTTAAAATAATCGGTCCATGCTTTGTCAGATATAAAACTCTCGGCTGTCGCCTTGTGTTCTATATCTGATCATAAATCACTCCTGCTCGTGTATTAAATAAATAGTACTTAAACAGCCAAATAATAACAGTTTAACCAAGCAAACATCAAGATTTGTCAAACCTTATCCTAAAATTAAGGGGCGTAAATTATACTCGTAAAATGCTACCAAATTCTAGCGCCAATTAAAATTCCAGCTCAGATTCAAACTCCAGCTCAGATTCAAACTCCAGCTCAAATTGAAATTCAAGCTGAAATTCAAATTCCACCTCAAATTAATTCCACGTCCAGTTCAAATTCAAATTGCAGCTCCAATAGACAATTCCAGCTTTTAGTTTATGCGTGCAGGGGACGATGGGAAGTAAGGTATCACATTGCTGAAAAAATAAAAATGGTGGCCGTGTAAACACGGAGTGATAGCTTATACTTGTAAATATTGAAATATTTCGGTTGTTTCGGTAGTTTTTATTGAAAATTTTCAGCATAATCAGCAATATGATACCTTACTTCCCATCATCCCCTGCAGGCATAAACTAAAAGCTGGGCATGGAATTGCCTATTCGATTAATTCCATGCAGCTCAAGTTTGATTTCAGCTCAAATTTAAATTCCAGCTCAAATTCGATTTTTAGGTCAAATTCCAGCCTATAATAAATTCTAATTTAATTAAGCCTCTGAATTTAAGCTTAAATTCCAATTTCAGCAAAAATTCCAATTCCAGCTCAAATTGAAATTACTGCTCAAATTGAAATCCAGCTGAAATTCAAATTCCGGCAGCTCAAATGCAATTTCCAGGTCAAATTCAATTTCCAGCTTAAATTGAAATCCAGCTCAAATTGAACTTACTGCTCAAATTGAAATTCCGGATCAGCTAGCTCAAATTCCAGAATCCATGGGATTCGTGTCTTGGTCATTCAGTTTTTTACGATTTTGAAATATGAGAGTCAGTAACTTATTTTTGACAAAAACAAACTATTTTCATTTTTTTTAAAAAAATGAAGTTATTTTATTTTCAATTCTTGATTATTTACCGTTATTAAATCATCAGAATGATCTTAGCCTTCGGGTCATTATTTTTTTATGATTTTGAAATCAGTTTAATCTTTGACAATTTTTTTTTAAATGAAACATTTTTTCCATTTTCAATTTCTAATAAATAATCAGAATGAGTGTTCTGTCCTTTAATGTCCAAATTCGAAAGTCGTTCCATTCAATTATCACGCGAGCTAGCTATATTTGACGGGAAAATTTGGCGCGGAAATTTACAGTTCATCACTTTATATACAGTTCGGTTTACCTGAGTAATAGGAATTGTCATTTTTGTGATGGAGCTATCAGATATTGAGACGGATTTTTCTTCACCCGCCCATAGGCAGCTCAATTAAATAGCTAGGCTATACGCGTGTTAAATGATTTGATCTGCAGTTCTGGTTGTGTGCTGTACGGGCGACCGGCGACGTAAATCGTAAATGGAAAAAATAAATTCATTTTTCATTTTTTAAAAAAATGAAAAATTGTTTTTGTCAAAAATAAACTGATTCTCATATTTTAAAATCGTAAAAAAAATGAATGACCCTAAGACCCACGGATTAATAACTGGCCTCTGTAGCTCAGTTGGTTAGCTATATGCCTCAAATTCGATTCCTGCATGCTAGAGGGGGCTGTACACGGCTGGAATCCGAGCCTAGGGCTATGTACGAGATACTTGATATTTAAAAGATTTGGGTTGAGGCTGCACGCAGCTGGCTAGGGCCTAGGGGCCAGGGCTATAGTGATATACCGGTAGTTGCATTTTTTTGTGACTGCTCGATCCTGTTAGGTCAGTAATATATATAATTATAAATGTATAAAATTTGCACTCGAAAAATCCATTTACAATTGCTTACATCTACAAAACCCATCTAGTATCTACAATTACTTACATCGAGTGTAGATGCCAAAATTCTGTAAATAATATGCCTCAATCTTATAGCAAAGAGTGACTTATATGATGCTCGAAATTTTGGGTACCTCCCTAAATGGAATCATAGATAGATAAATAGAATGGAATGTTGAAGGGTTTAATTTGTATATGGATCGAAATTTCACGAGGAAACTGTACGCATTCTACACCTAATAACAAGGAGCATTTGCGCATATGTGCCTTTCCAAGTCTTCCAAGAATTTTAATTGCAGATTAGAAGTCAGCAAAATGATAATTGGCTGTTGTAAGACTATCATTAGCCTGCGTAGCAGTCGCTTTATTTTATTGAAGGTTTTGAGGATTTCCATTTATTCAAAAATCCTCACAATCTTTAATGAAGCAATTAGACACTCGAAAGAGCGTTAACTCGCTGGGGCTATAGAGATACGCATGTTAGATGGCACTACAATCGCGACCTTTGGCTTTGGGACACTATATAGTCCAATGGAAATGGGTTCGATTTTAATTCGAATCCACCATGGTCACATAAACTTTTCAGCTTGCCCGGTGTGGATCAGGGTCTTTTTTAAAGATTTTCTCGTGGCGGGGGGGGGGGGATTTTTTGAAAAGGGACCTTTCTGTGAGATAATATATTAGAGAGAGATAGCAATGGCCGAAGGCCACGTCGTGTGTGGCCGACATACCATGCAAGAATAGGGGGTCTGGGGACAAACTCCCTCAGAAAATGTTTGAAATTTGAAGCCCAAAAATGCCATTTCCTGCATTTTGAGCATCTAAATTTGCTCTAAAATTTATGCTAACTATACTTGTATTTGAAATAAAAGAAGGAAAAAACGCACAAAAAATTAAAAAGATATTTGTTTGTATAAATTTAGGAAAAAGGGACTTTCCTGGGGGGGAAATGCCCCTTCGCCAGCTTGTATGTTAAAAAAGGCCCTGTGTGGATGCATACTCAGAGTAACATCACAAACATCATATTCACTTGAGTAGATAGCACCAACACACACAAAAAGTATCATATCTTTAATAGAATACATTGATATAGAAGGAACTAGACTCAGTTCCAAATATCACCAACTTGAGGTTGGGGTATTTGTAGAAATTTAGAAATTCCTAAAAGTTGACAAAAGTGGAAGCCACTGAGCTATATAATAACAATGTAAATCCATTGAAAATATTAAGTAGTTTTCATTGCCAGCAAGCAAATTTGGGAATGAAGTGTCTATTGGCTGATTGAAATCGTATTCGTAATATGAAATTTTTAGTGCAACTCACATGCAACTATATCATATATAGTTGCATGTGAGGGCTAATACCGGGGATTATGTACCAACAACATTTAATGTTAGTATTAATATTTATTGTATGTGTACAAACATACAACCTCGTACCCAGGACACACATATAGTGTATATTAATCATTCTATACATTACAGTGCTGTAATCTAATTAATGTCACTTGTCTGAGCTGTTGGAATCGCTGTGCTAATTAACTAACAGGCTTAGACACTGGGGGCTAATATATTCAGGGGGGGGGCTTATATATTCAGGGGGGGGGGCTTATATTCGGAATGGCCTGAGTGTTAGTGAATATGGTGGGCTTATACACAGGGGGCTTATACCGGTGGGGGAGGGGCTAGGGGTTATATTCAGAGGTTTATGGTATATTACTATCCAACGTTTCATATATCCTAGCTGAATTATACTGACATCACCTTGGCCATCCTTTTTGTTAGACTTTATAGCCCAAGTGAGATACTTTTCAGAAGGGTATATTCTGTATGCATTGCAAGAATATACACTATGTGCAAGATTTTAGAAACTTTATATCCAGGCCGAAGAAAGTTAATAATTATTAATAGGATGTTTGTGATGTTATTCTGAGTGTATATCCACACCAGGCAAGCTTGAAAAATATGCCTGGCCACGGTGGGAATCGAACCTACGACCTTTGGAATACTAGCCCAACACTCTGCCAACTGAGCTATGCAGTCAGGTTGGTTCGAGTATGTGATATTTCAGAACTGAGTCCAGTTCCTTCGATATCAGTGCAATCTAATAATATCGAAGGAACTAGACTCAGTTCCGAAATATCACATGCTCGAACTGACCTGACCGCGTAGCTCAGTTGGCAGAGCATTGGGCTAGTATTCCAAAGGTCGTAGGTTTGACTTCCACCGTGGCCAGGCATATTTTTCAAGCTTGCCCGGTGTGGATATACACTCAGAGTAACATCAGAAACATCATATTCACCCAAGGGTGGGTTGTAGCGAAGTAGTTGTAGTTCGCTACTGTAGTGAACTACAATTTTCAAGTAGCCAGTAGTTTTTGACTACTTTTTTAAAACAGTAGTTGTAGTTATAGCGAACTACATTTTGCCTAAAAGTAGCCAAATAGTTGACTACTTTTCAAACAGCGAATCGCTATTCGCTACTTTTTAAAATTGTTAGCAACCGTTCATAGAATAGAATGATATTAAGACACGGTTTGCTTAAAAGATTATTTTATACAGCAAAGATTATTTTAGCGCAATGAAAAGTGGCACTCCTGAACACCGTATAGTGCTTACAAAAATGTTGCTTTAATTGACCCTTTTTGTTTACTGTTACTACTCGTAAGTCGATTTGTTATACGTTATATTACAGCCTGAGCTAGTGGATGCTCCAAGTACCGTTTCACTAAAAAATATAGAGTAGCGAAATAGCGAAATAGTTCGCTACATTTTTTAAGCAGTAGCTGTAGTCAGTAGCGAACTACCTTTGTTCAAAAGTAGCAGTAGTTGTAGCTGACTACATATTTCTGAAGTAGCTGTAGTTATAGCGAACTACAAAAATTTTGTAGTGAACCCACCCTTGTATTCACCTGAGTACATTACACCAACACAGAAAAATCACAATTATTAATAGGATTCATAAACAAATACGAAATACTAGGCTTACTAGCCACTTTCCTCTACTGACGATCGAAGCAAGCTTTAGACAAGAATATTTTCTCATCAACTATCGTCAGAAAAAGAAACAAAACAGTATAAAATAGCTTTGTACCTTTTGTATCAGCTCTGTTGTATCAGTACTAGAAACAAATGGCGGTGGGCCAGATCTCTTGGTTTTAATAATTAATAATGGACGGTGTAGATTTCACTTCGCCTTCATCTTTTCCAGTCGATTTATCGCCTTGGTTAGTCATATTCTTTAAATTTCAATCTTCGACAAGCAAATTCATGTCAATAATATATATTTACTGGAAATTTTTCACTATTAAATTTAAAAACAAGGCGCAATTGCGCAAATACGAATTTGTTTTGTTTTCAAATTTCTGAGCCGTCTCGCGCATGTCTCGAACTCGCGGGACCGGCGCGATATTTTCCTGCGTCCTGATTGGATGATGCACACGCATGCGCTACGTCTACCAGAGTGTCACGTTGTCGCGCATGCGTTCGTTTGAAAGGTTTGGTAAACACCGAGATAAAGCGTCCCACATGCACCACACCAGGCAACTGTAACGTACTTATATACGGAACTGTTACTATTACTTGTGTGTGGTAGTTACCGATCATAGGATCTTGCGAAAAGGGTGCCAGGCATAATGGTCTGGGGGCCGCCGGCACTCTCCCCCGTCGTTCGTTCGATACCGATTGGTAAGCCACCTGTTCACCCGCCTCTGACGATAGCGTTGAGTTTAGCCGAAATCTAGTTTAAACGTTAACATACGGCGTTCTAGCGGTTAGCACGAGACGGGCTTGACCGATACGAGCTAGCAGAGTCGGGAAGTATGGACTGATGAGGCACTTTTCTTTTTAAAAATTTTATTTGTAATTTACCCTTCGATATAAACAGATTTTCTATTAGAAGATCTCTTATATCGAAGGATAAATTACAAATTTACCGAATCAATCAACTGAATTGAATTTCGACTAAAAAAGTTAGCAGTGTAATTTTGTGCTTTTTATCTAACTTATAAAAATCTAAAATGTATCTTTACTACTTGTTTATGTCCGTACCAATTTTAAAAACACAATTAAGAACCTAAATTAAACTATTTTAAGTTCTAAAGTTTAATTAGGTTTCACGCCAGGATACCAGCTATTACACCATTTTGTAGGTACCCGTCTACGTCCTGGTCCGCCTTCATTTTAACCAATCAGATCACGATCCACAAAAGCTCGTAATCTGATTGGCTAAATGAAGTGATCCGTTAATCCTACCAAGCTTGAAAGAGTTTGGGTGCTCGACCCCAGGCGCTATAAAATAATGTGGCCCACAAGTGTTACAGCTTAAAATATAAACTCATGGGAAAATAAAGTTAACTCACGGCACTGCGGGCAAAACGAAATTATTAAACTCAGGCCTCAGGGCAAAATAAAAAGTCACGGCAAAATAATAACAAGTCAAGACGCTCAAAAGAGCTTCAACTCGCTGGGCCTAACCATCTAGGTCTATTAAGAGGGTCCTGAAGGGGGGGTCCCAATCCCATTTCCCACCTGAAATGTTGGCAAAATCCCAGTCCCCGTTGGATTTTTATTAGAAATCCCAGTCCGAGTTATTCAGTGGAATCCCAGTCAATTAAAACCCCTTTATTTATCAGTGAATAAACAGTTTTAAGACCTTTTAAGCCACCGTGTGTGCATGTCCGGGCGCCAGAGTATGCCTGTTCGCAAGTGCTTTGAATAACATGACCAAAGACACCAAAAACGGATCAAAATTGTATTTTAAAATGCTTTGAAACGTAGAAAAATTGGGAATCGACTCGCATTACCTCAATCCCATTCCCATTTTTGAGGACTTCATTTCCCATTCCCAGTGGCCAAATCCTAGTCCCAGAAACCCAAATCCTATTTTCCCAGTCAAAAATAGATCAATCCCAGTTCCCATTTTACCCCTTCAGGGCCCTCTATTAACCGTGGTGATACGCATGAGTAGTACTACAGTCGCGACCTTTGGGATACTAGTCCAATGGGTTCGATTTCAATTCCACCGTGGTCAGACTACCCGCTCGTTCTAGAGGTTCTTGTGCCACCGACCGTATTATAAATTGAGAAATACATACGAGTGAGAATAGGGCGGAAGATGCAAGAACCTCTGGGTATTGTCAACCAGGCCCAGGGTATTGTCAGACAAACTGTTGAGCTTCTGCCCCGCAGGCTAGACTATCATGTAATTTCTGTGATGTATGGTCTCTGGATCTCCGGTTCAAAGTCAACTGCCTGTGTGTAGGCTACCGAAGGTAACCTTTGGAACCGGGCGCCGTGACAGGCTATGACGTATTTCCTGTTTGAAGTAAACCTACTATGCTGGAACGAACAGACAGAGTGAAACAAGCATGCGAAGCAAATTGTGAAAGTTATTCAAAGTTTTATGACTTTGTACTCGAAGTGTGCGCTAAACTAAACTGTTTATGAAGAACTCCGGGTTCGTTTAATCTATGGGATTTGCTCTTCAAGATCCATACGTTTTGTCAAATTATTTATAAGTGTGCGTACGATGCGGCACTGTGCCTGGCGAAACAAACGTGTATAGTCTGTCTAGCAACTAATAGCACACAGGGAAGAGAGCTTTATGTGCTAAATTCCTGATTAACGTCTCAAAATTTTGTTCTACAAGCCGTTGAAAACGGGTAATAAGGCATTTTACAAGGACTACAAATCAAATAGGAGTCGAAATATGAATTGAGAAGATGAGAGATCCAATGAATAGCGCCGGCGTATCGATTTACAATGTGGACGTCGAAAATGAAGATGATCGACCGAATGAATTGAATGATCTACTAAATAACGCGAAGATTCATATTTTGGAGCAACCTAACATGGGAGCACTTCGGAAAGAAAGAATTGAACGGGACAGAACAGCAATGAAGGTATGTCAGACATGTATTTTGTCTAGAACAAGGGCGCGGGCAAGTGACAGTGAGAATAGTTGATTAATATTTTAAGTGATGGATGTTGATATATTGATATGATGTTGACATAGTAGTGGCTGACTGTGTCGCAGAAGGTTGCCTTTCTTTCATTTGATTTTGAATATTCCTATTTCACGCTGCGTGTGTGTTTAGAAACTCATAAAGACAGCATTATTTGGTGATTTCTTTTGTTGTCATATGTCGTGAAATTGACATCCTTTTCTGTATTCCTTTTTTCCGGTGGCAGCGTGCATATTCGATACCTAGCATAATTGTCGCAATTATAGCTTCTCATATATCAAAGCATATTGTTATGAATGACATTGTTTTGTTATTTATTTCCTTTTGAGCAGTATTGCCCTAGCTTTTCGCACAAAACTACATCCCCTACAGCCTGACACTGACTATGTTACAATAGCCGTGATTTCTTCAAAAGTAAACAAATGCCTGTTCAAAAAGATTAAACTAATAATAGCTTCTCATATATCAAACTTAAATAGTTGTTGTGAATAGTTGTTTTGTGGTTTATTGCCTTCTATAATGTGTTATGTGTAACAGTTTGCCCTAGCTTTCACACAAAACGTTGTTACATAGCAATGACTTTTGTCATAAATAAACCTCTTGAGAAAATATTCCAGTTCATTCAAATCTCAAGAGTTTTAATACTTAATTTCTCACCACATTGACGTGTTGCTGTGGTTATTTAGCAAAATATCAGCTGTTTTTAGTAAGAAAACTGACGTTCTTTCTTAAAATATCTTCTTAACTGATTGCGCATCCATATTTGCACAGGCACTTTTGACTGAAGTCATTAGCAGACTAGATATTGCAGACAATTGTCAATCAGCCATATGTACACGTAATTTTCATTAAAGTTCTATTGTTTGCGACTAAACGCTATATAAGTGTATAAATAGTGGAAAGGGACATATTTTGAAGTATGCGACCTATACTACAGTATTTGCTCTTTGCTCTAACATATATGATATGTATGTATGTAACTATGTATATTGAACACTCTCGAACATGTAGCACACTATTTGTCTAGTTTATGATAATGACCATGATATAGCCCAAATAGTTAAAATATAAGTTGGCTGTTTAAAAAAGATCCTTAGTATGTTATATTTTTCAGTGTTTGAAACAACCCTACAGGCATTTCTTAAAAAGATCTTTACTATCTTATATTTTTAAGTGTTTGAAACAACCCTGCAGGCATTTTATATGTGGGGGTGGATTTGTAACCTTGAACAAATTGTTGATTGCCAGTGGGCCAAAAATAGAGAACAATGAAAACTGATTTTTGTGTGGGTCATTGTCTGTTACAAATAGGGTCCTGTTGGGGGGTTGTGTGTGCATTTGTATCGCTTGTCTGAATTTCAAAACTAGTACTGTCAGAATTTCAGTGTATTATATTGTTTTCTACCATCTTCATGTTGCATTTGGACAGTTTGTTTCATGTGTGCTGTTTTTCATTCATTTCATGTTGCCATAACTTCAGCAGAATGTCACCTATTTGAATTTCTAACAAATGTGATAGTTGTTGTATGCAAGCTTTCACAGTCATGGCATAGCGGTGCCATTGTGCAGAGCTCAGTAGGCTTCAACTGTGACTGAGTAGTAGAATAATATCAGATATTTTAAGTACTCTACAAATCAGACATAGTACTGCAGTGCCCCGAGCATGTGCAAAATAAGTGCACCACAAGCATGAAGACATAGATACCAAGGCTTATGATTCAGAACAAACTAACAGAATAACAAACTCACACAGCAAGTTTTATGGGATGCCAAACTTCGTTTGGGCACCACAGTGGGGATGAGTGTTGATCATTTCTAGAAGAACCATAGTTTAATGCTTCATGTACAAAAAATTCTAACCATTTTAAGCATGCACACAAATATATAGGTATTGATTTACTATGTTTATTTTTATCTGCTTTGCATATCAAGTGTAAATCTCTCAATAACTAAATCAGTAGATTATATTATAAAGGTATAAATTAACCTTCATTACTTTACTGTGACCTCCAAAGGCCTCAAATATAATTTTATAATTCTACTTTAAGGTTGCATCTTCTACTAAGCAGATCTTTCATCTTAGTATTTTTGGACTAACAAATGAACATGATGTTTGAAAAAAAAAAATAATAATGAACATACTGTAATGATATTGGAATTTTAAATCTGTTTAATTGATTTGATATTTTTCTTTGTATGTGAACATATTAGGCCAAGTAAACAAATCAAGTGTTTCACGTCCCTGCCTGCTTCCTTTTTTTAGCCACTTCCTCTTTTTTGTCTCACTTGTTTTCCAGTTCAAATGACAAACTATTATTTTGATTACTTGAATCAGTATCATGAGCATAATTACTATAGCTCGCTCAGTGGTGCCGTTTACACCCCACTAGAACTTTTTCCACCCCTCCTTTAAAAAAAATGAAAATCCGGCTTAATCCACCCTTGAAACCATGCACAAGTGAGTTTTTCAAATAGCATCAAAATAGCACGAGTCCAAAGAACGAGTGATATTTAAGGCTTGAAAAAACTTACAAGCGCTTGTTTTATCCAAATTTCATGAGAAACTATCTTCATGTTCAAGACAATTGTAGTTTTAACTTTAATAGAGAACTGTCCACCAACAAAGCTTTCCTGCTTTGTCATATTATACATACTACATACAATCAAGGCTGGCGAGAAGGGAGACAGGGGGCAAAATACCTGGGGCCCAGAGTGCTCAGAGGGGCCCAGAAATCTCGTTAAAATGTTTGTATTGTTTATCATCGCTTTATGTTTGTCCTAAATGAAATACGCCTACTTGCACACTATCCGCTGATCATCGTGATCGCGATCATAAAACGTACCAAATGTGAAATAAACGATTATTCGGTTGTTTTTTCTGCAAAAACAGTTAGCCAAACATTGTTTACATTGCGTCTTTATCAGTTATGAGATGAAATGAGGTATTTACCTGTATTGAACACATTTATTACGTCCATCTGCTGGTACAGTAACGTGCATGCATGCCGCACGTGCCATCGGCAACGAAATTCTCCAGCAATTTCTTGCAAGTAATTCGCTGGTGATTCCCTCGTTGATTGCGATTAAAAAATAGACTTGGGTGTGGCCATCATTGTGAGAGTCGTGAGGGACGGGAGGGGGCCATGTTCACCTATTTGTCCTGGGGCCCGTGGTTGCCTCTCACCGGCCTTGTATACAATGCAGGGTGTTAGCTAGCCCATATACTGTCCATTTGACGGACTCTTCCCATTTGAAGTAGCTAAGGGCTTTCCCAACTGGGTCTACTGGAAGATTTTCATTTTTTCTAATGAGAAAGTGCATTGCGTTTGATTTTATATTATTGCATCAAAGAACGTTTTATTTACTTTTTCCATTAACTATTTTCTCAAAAATGTATTGCGTTTCATTCATATTGGGTGTGTATTCACTGAAAAGAAATGTACAAAACAAAGTGTAATCGGTGTGCATCCGTGTTCATTTACGGGGAAATATACAAAACGAAGTGCCATCACCCCATCGGGTGCATTTTTCAGTGTTCATTCACCGGAAATGAAATGTACAAAACCAAGCTACCGTTGTTTGCATCTAAGGAGAAACACGTTGGAAAAAACACTATTCATTATTCCTACAACAAAGACTTTGATCGGTCAAATAAACTTTCCCAATTTATGTTTAAATTAACGGACAAAACGGGTTTTTTCTGGCTAACACCCTGACAATGCTTAAACAGCTTGAAAATTTCACTTGACTATGACTATGTGAGTTTTGTTAGTTGAATGACTAAATACAAACACTTGCCAAGTGGTTAAGTGAATTTTGATTTTTGATTTTAGATTGTCAGTCCTTCAGTTGCTAATCATGTTATCGGAAAGGTGAAGTAAATTAAATTAATCATTACTAGATAATTGTATTAGTAAGATGATGATAGAGGAATGAGGTAATCTATAGGAGTATAGTTTATATAACCCCAATATAGCCATTCAGTAAAACTAAACACCCATGCAGACACAGGCAACTGCCTCACCCCTCACCCCCAAATGATTTCTGAAAGCCTTTGAATGGTACAGGCCTGAATGTTGGTTGGTTTTTTCAGTATCCCATTTGGATACCAGGTTACAAAGTTAGTATCCTGGAATACAATAAATTTTGACATCTATAAATTTTGTGACTTATCCAAATAAGTATAATGTACATGACTCTCATTGTTACAAATTAGAATAACAACAGGAGACTCAACATTCAACAACTAGACAGTCACCATGAATTTATAATACACTATCATGCACAAACTTAAACAGTTTTGGACTGGAGTGACCCTCATTAGCATGGGGTTTTGAATGTGGAAATCAAAGACTGGCTATTTTCAAGGTGACTCAAGTATATTTAAAAGCTGTTGGGAGACCAAGTGCTGAAGACATTTGACATTATCCTAATGTTTGAAATTTTGTAGTGTCTAGAGTTTCGACACAAGTCATTCACAGTTTTGTATCCAAAAGCAAACTTTAATATCCTGTTGATATTGGGATACTGCACTTGTCAGACCAAGAATAATATCTGTTTAACTGTGCAGCAAAGCTGTAACAATGTTTTTACAACAATGAAAGCATTTATAGCTATAATTTATGCGAATATGTTGATTGTTGAACATGGTTGAATACAACTGTATGTTGGCATAAATTTATATATGTGGTTATAAATTTGCATTACTTTGTTAAGGATTTGCCACTGCACCCAAAGTACATGTGTTTTACTTGTATATTAATTTAAGAGAGTTCAGGAATAAACATCCTATAAAGTATTTTACTTATAAACACAGTAGGAATTCATATTCCTAATATTGTTGGAATTTTTGAAATCATTGAAGCATTTTCTAGTATTGTCATAAGAGATAATTAACAATACTGCATTTCTCACTCACCTACAGTAAGTAAACAGTTTTGCAGTGTACCTAATATCTGCTTTAATTATCCTGTTCACCGTATTTACCGTCCAGGCCCGATAGATAGGTATAGATAGAAAAACTTTATTTAAATTTTCCAATTCAGTCGAGTGCTGTCAGTGTAAGAAACTTCTCTTCTGTGGGCATGTTCCCCATTTTGATTTTCTAAGGTTTAGAAACGTTACTTCCTGCATTCTGAAAGCAGTTTTAACTGCAGAAAAGTCATTCTCATAAACAGTAATGAATATTATTTAATAGTTAATAGCAGCCTCCCACTTACACAACTATATAGGGGGGAAAAGGATGCTCTCTTCGCTTGGGCGTTTTTCACACGATCCGCAACATACCAGAAAGAAAAATACTTTGAACTTGAAATCTTCGTGTTTTAAATTTCTTCACAAAATTACAAAGACTGATATAGTGATAGCTAGTTATGGGCCTGAAAACCTGACTGGCATGCAGGGGGAAAATTGGGGGTCAAAATTATACAGTTTCCAACATATAGTTCCTTCTTGTTTAATTAACTGCAAATTTGAAATTTAATCCAAGAAAAATGTTAGCTACGGTACGTACACAATGGCATTCAGAAAGTATGAGAGGCAGGAGTACTTGACGTTTGCCTCCCCTATATGGCCGATTCACACTGCACCACAAAATGTTTTCTTCATTTTTCATCCAAAATTCTTTATTTGTTTTATAGTTCTAACATTTGACCAAATTTGGAGAAAAGAACTTGAAACTCTCCAAAATATATAAATAAATAAAATATTTTTGCTGTCCGCAAGTGGCGCGAAGGTTTCTGCTATTTTGGCAGAAGAATTTATTGTTTACATCAGTCTGTTCACATATATGTACGCTGCGCAGTAGCGATTCTCCGCAGCAAGCCACAAAGATAGTTAACTCCGGCAGAGGATTTAAGATTTTCTTGGTCGCATGTAGCGACCTAGGACCAAACAAGAGAGCAGCAGAGGTAAACAACGTACTACTACGCGAGGAACACAGAAACCCTCATATTTTTAAAGAACAAATCATAATTTCAATAAATTATTTGATAATCAAAAATCAGTATGAATAGTAGAGGTAAGATCACCAATGTAAATTATTGCGTTATAATGCACGCGCATTATAGCCAATCAAATTGCATGTTATATTATAACAAGTAATACAGCAGCACGTCCTTCATGGCCTTTTTCAAGAGCTTGGTATATTTTATGAATTATATAATTATATTGAGTCACCAGGACAAAAGCCAGACTGAAACCGAACCCCCCAGAAGCTTCAGGATATTCATAAACTTGAATAAAGACAAATTTTTCCACACACTGTAAATATAGGATAAAGAAACCAAATTAGAAGTCTTTAATTGTCAATTTTCCTTTTTAGCTCGCCTGTATAACACACGCTAACATTCCAAAGTCGGAATACTTTTTTATGCACACTATAATAAGGACCAGACATATACTGTAGTACTACAGTGCGGTGCCCTTTTACGCAAAACAAGTGCACCACAAGCGCGATGACATACTACTTAAAAACCAGCCTACACTAGTAAATACCAGGGCGAAGAAACTAACAAACTCACGCAGCGAATATAAAACAATGCCAATTTTCGTTTTGGGGCATCGCAATTAATTGTTCCAATAAGAGAGTGTCAAAACTATACCCAAATTTTTCCTACAAATATATAAAATACATTTCTATAAAAAATTTTCAAAACATCTATATTTGAATAGGGAGCCATAAAAAAGGAGGAAGCAGCTGCAGTTTGCATACAACGTCATTTCAGAGGATATATCGGAAGAAAAGAATATCTGCAGCTCTTATATGAGCAATTTGAAAAGGTACATATCTACCGTGGGATTATTGCGTAATCCGGCATAGAATTGGGCGGAATACCGTAAAAAATCACAGCGTCACGTGGTAAAAATAGTGTTTATTGATTAAACAATTTAAAGTTGAGGTGTAATGTTGTAATGTAAGATGAAAACAAACCTCAATGGGCTGTCGACAAATATTAATTGTATGCATGACTGTCCACCTCTGGGAAAGTCACACGCAGGCTATTTATAGTATACCATGGATTATATGTAAATTAGCCGTGAAATTGATGAAACGAAATCACCACAAGAAGCAAAGGAAAATTCTAAGCTCCAGTGGGATTTGAACCTACGACCATTCGCGTTTTAGGCGGATGCTCTAACGACTGAGCTACTGGAGACTATCTATGGTGAGCAATAGTCCTACAGTATGTGGGTTCTCGCAGACACCCAGTCATGTGCGAATGCAATCAAGTCCCATAACTGCATCGCGCAGTCACATTACTGTAAATCATCAGAACTGATGCGAAAGTAAGTGGGTCGCGCATCCATTCATCCATACTGCCGAAATCAATATAAGTCTGATATGATGAAATGAAATCACCCCATTCGTACATGACTAACGTGGCTGTGAGATGTGGTATATGTACTGTATGTCAAAAAATCCACATAAGAACTTTGGTGAGTAGCTCAGTGGTTAGAGTATCCTATTAGATCTCCAAGGGTCGTGGGTTCAAATCTAAATTCGAGCTCAGACATTTTCTGGGTTTCTTGTGGTGATTTCATTTTACCATTAATCTGCCATCGCGCTGTTCGCGCTTGGATTGTAATTTTGCATGTGACAACCATAATAGACTGTATTGTTTATTGCACTCGTTTTCATGTGGTTATTTCTTCATGTTTTGTGCACAGTAAGTATAAAGATAGGCTTGCAGTGATTGGACTCAAGATCAGAGAGAAACAGATTCGTGCCCGAAACATCTGGATATGACCTTCATGTGAGTCTGCCATGCTAAAGAAGGCAAACATGAAAACGAGTCCATTGGAGCAAAAATACAGCCATTAAAGTCTATTGCAATAGCTAGAAAGGTACTTAGAATTTTTTTTTCATCTTGTAGGATGAGGCTGAGAGACTTGAGAAGATTAGACAACAAGTTGAGGAAGGAGAAATCATCGTTGATAAGTACGTTTAAATATTTTACAATAATAATGAAATGGTAATAATAATTAGTGGTATGAAACTGGACATTGGAAGGTCTATATAGATAAATATTTAAATATGGCGCTGATGTATTCTTCACAATGCGACTATGTACGTTTCTTAATGTTTCCGCTATAGTTATCATTTAAAGCAAGAAATGGAAGAAAATGATTGTCTGAGGAGAAATAAACGGAGACAAGAAAACTGTAGTGCTGTGACGTATGTATTATTGAGCTTTAGTACGGAGTACTGAAACATTCGTGCGGTAGCCGCGAGATTTCATATTTTATATATGTGTACAGTAGGTTATCATATGAAGGGCGAGGCGATATCAGTTTTATTGCCTTTAGGCAGCCACTTACTCGCCCTAATATTATTGCCTTGCTTTCATTAGAATTCAAAGAGTTTGGAGGGACTATTCGGAAAGAATGCACAACAAGCTTGTTGGTTTGAAAAACGAGCACGGTCATGGAGTATTGAAGAATGGTGACAATGGCGTCTTTAATTCTTTTGCCGTGTCTCCTTTTGAAGACGATTTTTACGAAGATGATATCTTTCAAAATCACTCTGAATGTGAGGAGCACAGTAGAAACAGTTCGGATGAGGAATATGAAGATGGACACGAATCGTGTTATTCGGAATCTGAGCATAAGCCTGACCTTTATACTGGTTATTTAAGAAGAAGCTTTTCGGAAAACTCCGAATCTGTAGACTTAAACAAAGAACTTCCCCCTCCTACTACGGATTGGGAGTCAATCGACCACCGGCTTAATTCAAGTGGTATACAAACCACGGACACACAATATTCGCCTGATCCAAAGGTCATTAACAGACTGTCTATCGGACCGGATTATTTACAATTGTGTTTCGGAGATGATAATGCGTTATCCGATGAAGGGGAGACCCATCACGAGGAAGCAGAAATTAAGGAATATATCATTGAAGACTATCATGCTAGTAAATCTGAAGATGAAGACAAACGCGATTCAGGGTGTATATTAAAAGATGATGCACTTAATTTAGAGCCAGTTGATGTGAAAATAATCAAACCTGAGGAACTTGAAAGTACAGAGATATCAGAGGAAGAGACAACCCAGGTTTTGTTACAGCTAGAGTCTGTTAGTGAACCACACGTTGATGGGATGGAATCAGATTTATTGAGGAAGAAATTAGAAAGATTTAGCATTCGACATCTGGAGACTCAAATCAGGGATCTTAGGATGAAAGTGAAAGGTAATTTTTGTTGTTGTAACGGTCAGCATTGGTAAACACTGAATAACCGATTAATTTTGTTTTGCATGGACATTTTGACTGACCAAAAATGTATAAAAGCTATATATATATATTATTTGATTAATATACTCACTATACTGTTCAAAAAGCATTAAAGCCACAAACCTTTTTTTGGCTTTGCTGTGACAAGCAACAAAATCACATCACAAGTTTATGGTACCAGACATATCTGTGGGAAAACAATATATGTGGGAATCGTTGAGACTGCATGCTTACCAAAAGTCAAGTGTTTCATCAGTCATCTCATTCTCCATATTATTGAATTTATTGGCTGGGTCAAATAGACTTTAACTTAACCACGGCTATTTTCACTCGGTCACTCGTTGGATTAGACGACTAAGGGGAAAGATTTTAATTGGCTTCTCAGAGAACCGCTAATTACATGAATTGAGTTGTTTTAGCTAGCCGAAGTACGCTATCCAGAATCTGAATATGTCAACACAAATACATTGTTTCTTCCTAATAGTAATACTTTTGTTTCTTATACACAAGTACATTGTTTCTTTGAGACATCGCGCTATCAATTTACAAGCAAGTAGAAACTACTACAGTACAAGTGTTACCGTGAGTCCCATGGGCTATGGACCTATGAAGGTCGCCCGCGCCCTAGAGACCAGGAACGAAGATGACATAATTATCTGATCAAAATAAAGCAATAAACCGAATATCGAAATATGGTTGACTAATTTTTTCTCGTATTAGTAATACGACATAAACCTCGAAAAATGTTTTTTGTATTTCACTTGCTTGAACTTGAATGCTGCATGGGTTTGGTGGATATAATCCAAGTGAGTATATATATGATTGCACAATGTTAAGACCTAACCAGGAACGGTTGCGAAAAATGCAACACTAGGTCCTCTGGCAGGAATGGAACCTGCGACCCTGCGATTCCAGTGGGCTGATACTCCTGCACGGGAGTCACAGGGCCACAAGTTCGATTCCTGCCAGAGGACCTAGGTTGTTTACCAATACATGGAAAACCCATCCGGTTTGAAATTGTGCTAATGGTAATTGGTAAGCAAAATTTCGATGGTAAACAACCCTAGTGTTGCATTTTTCGTAACCGTCCCTCGTGCATGGTTAGGTCTTAAAATTGTGCATATATATGTTCACTTGGATTATATCCACCAAAACCAGCATTCGAGATAAACCTTAACTTTGTCTTTAGTCTACCGAATATACATTATTTTAACAATAAAATATTTTAATTTCAGGAAATTTTGCTTCATTTTCGAAGAAGCAACAGATGTTATGAATTGTAGTTACAGCAATTAATAAAATATATAATAATAATATAATAAGTGGTTTAATAAAACAGCACAATGCGCAAGGGCGGTAACTACTGTACTTCATCTTGCACGGATATTGTGGATCAGTGCACCACTATCCTTAGACAATGTTTTACGCTATTTAAATAACACATGGTTCGCTTAGTTAATTAGTCCCTGTGATGATGAATTACTTTACATCTGGAATTACCGCCTGAATGTAAGTGATGACACTAACTCTGAGGGATTGTTAAGCCAGTTTCCACTTCAATCGTAACGTATCGTAGCATTATTTTCTTTTGTGTCGAAGTCATTAGTTCCACTTTAGTGCTCAGGAAACAAAGAAATACGCTACGCTATACGATATGGTTGAAGTGGAAAACTGGCCTTATACAAGCATATGAACTCCGTTTCATGCGGCTGGAGTTCACATCGATGTGCCCGCAACAAAAATGTGCCGCTAAAATCTGAGATATCTAGCTTATTTATATAGCATTATCATGAAAACTTATGCATCGTGTTCGTTCATAAGCGCGGGAGAAATATACCTCGAACATAGACGGATTTGCTGATATAGGTTGCTTAATTATTTTAAAGTGTTAGCAATGCATTTTCGGCGTATTTTCCAAAATTGATTTGCAACCGTGTGACATGTTTTAACATTAGGCTAAATCAGTGTCACTCGGGAATTTCACAACATTTATTATTAACGAAGGGCAACGTGATGAAATTTGTTGTTGCACATATTAAGTGATTCTACATTTCAATATCTTTAAATTTGAAAATGTCAAAATAAGGCTTCCTGTGTACTTGAAAGATGTTTTTTGCAGTTCACTTGATTGAACTAGAATGCTGGGTTTCGTGGATAATCCAAATGAGCATAGTAACAATTTTAAGACCTAACCAGGAACGGTTGCCAAAAAATGCAACACTATACAATCATGGCAAAAATTCCGTGGACACTTGAGTGTAAACTATTAAAGTATATATTACTAGTCACATACACATCTTGGCGGCGTCTTTGTCTGCCTCGCTCCCCATGTTGGTTTTGATATATATTTCACAAAACTTTAAGCAAACAAGTTTATAAGCTTTCAACACTGAACCGGGGGGAGGGGGGATTTAAAAATTGCTGTTTTTGCACATATGTATTGGGCAAGGCAGGTATGTCTATTTCCGCAATAATTTTTGCCAAGATTGTCGGTCCTTTGGTAGGAATCGAACCTGCGGTCCTGCGATTCCGGTGCAGCGCTCTAACCAACTGAACTACAGAGGCCAATTGTCGAGCTGTGACTGCAAGTTCATGCATGTATAGATTTTCGGGCGTGCGGGTTGTGATAAGGTGTGTTGGACTTCACTTGGTTGAACGTTAATGCTGGGTTTGGTGGATAATATATATATATATGCTCATACGTCATAGTATACTGGAAAGACTCAAATATTCACTACTTGTTATTATTTGTTTGTAGAAGCATCAGATGAGTTAGTAAACGAATTGCTGGTACGAGATCAACTGCACACACGACAGGATGCACTGCTGATGGATGTAGAAGATGCTGTTAAGTAAGTGCTCCTTTGGGATATGTTTACTTCTTTTATTTTATTTATTTATTTTATTTTACAAGTTTGCCATTATTAAAGATATAAACTAACTACTGTATAAATTACACTCAATGGCTGGAATGACCACACGGAGATAAAATCTCCAATAACGGGGTTCCACAACATACATTAGCATAACAATAACTTACAGTTACACTATGGCGTGACAGATATTAGACATACAGTACTAATAAACAGATAAACAAATTAACAGGCCACAAATTGAAACAAACAACGATAAAGACAACGACATGAGATCCTCATTTATATTTTCATAAAGTGAGATGGCAATGAAAATTAAGTTTTTGTCTCGTTTCAAGAAAGTTTAAAGTGCATATGACATGAAATTTATTATTTTCTTAAATGAAAGAACTCTTTAAGCTGTAGTGTAACTTATATTTCAATTTCTTGTTTTTTTGGTTTGTTCCCTAGATATTTCAATTTGTTTGATATGTAAATGGTGTGAATGTGTCCGCTAATTTATGACGTGACGTTGGTTGCAAGCTCAACTTACACTGGTTATAAATGTATTAACTCTAAAAACTGAAAATATCACTTCACGTTTTTCTCCAGTGTTTCATCACATTTACCAGTGAGGGAAGTTTGAAGTTATCATCTTGGATGATAGCAGTGATATTCAACCATTTTGAGGAGCTTGCAACCAACGTGACGTCATAAATTAGCGGACATATTCACACTCATTTACATGTCAAACAAATTGAAATATCTCGGGAACAAACCATAAAAACAAGAAACTGAAATATAAGTTACACTACAGCTTAAAGAGTTCTTTCATTTAAAAAAATAATAAATTTCATGTCATATGCACTTTAAGATACGAAGACTTTTTCAACTTTTCCATATCCGAAATATTTCGACCAAAAACAGCGTGAAGCCTGAAGGCCGCCATGTTAGATCGTGCTTTAATATGCTGATCGTCACAACCATGAGTTCCTGTCCGGGTACCGAGAGAAACATTTATTTTGCCAACCACTTTTCATTATGGGCTAAAACTCAATCTTCTTAGGTTTTTCCCACTTGGTTCACAGCATAGTAAAGAAACTTCCTTCATTGAGTTGGAGTCAATTACGTAGAATTTTAACACACATACGTTTACATGCAATACTCCTGTTGTGATGTCATCAAAATCCCAATTAATTATAGGTCAAATATTAAAACAAGATGGTTGACCACAAGCTCTTTCAGGTCAAAATATCTCCAGGCACGAAAAATTGTAAAAGATCATTATTTCCCGTTGAGCTACTAATCTTGATTATATGTACATTGGAACACACAATAGTTGGTTATCAATAGTTTTAAGGTCCTTGAAAACTCAGCAGAGAAGTACTCTAAATCAATATTATTACAGGAGACAGTTTTATTATGGGCATGCATGTTTCCCAGAAAAACACACCAACAGAATATGTAGACCTTTCTCAAAAACAGCTTCACAACCTCATTCCCGGCCTTTTGCGCGGTTTGGCAAGTATATTTTTCGAATTGTGTTGAAAAAGCCGTCAAAATTTCAAGAGCGATGCATTGTTGTAATCAAAGTATAAGAACTTTCCCACTTCAGCTTCTGTATAGTCTATTGCAAGTGTTCCCGCGATTCCCATGGCCTCTGAAGGTCGCGCGCGGCCTAGAGGCCAGGGACGAAGATGACATCATTATCTGACCAAAATAAAGCAATAAACCGAATATAGAAATATGGTTGACTAATTTTTCCCGAATTAGTGATACGAGATAAACCTGGAAAGATGTTTTTTTGCACTTCACTTGCTTGAACTTGAATGCTGGGTTTGGTGCATGATATAATCCAAGTGAGCATATATATGCACAATGTCAAGACCTAACCAGGAACGGTTGCCAAAAAATGCAACATTAGGTCCTCTGGCAGCAATGGAACCTGCGACCCTGCGATTCCGGTGCAGGAGTATAAGCCCAGCATTCGAGATAAACCGTGCATTTGGTCTATACCAAATACACATTTAACAATAAAGTATATCAGTTTAGGAAATTTAGCTTCATTTTCCAAGAAGCAACAGATGTTATGAATTGTAGTTACAGCAATTGATAAAATATAGGTCGTTAATTAAACAGTCCCTGTGATGATGAATTACTTTACATCTGGAATTACCGCCTGAATGTAAGTGATGACACTAACTCTGAGGGATTTTGTTATACAGGAACACGAACTCCGTTTCATACTTTCATGCAACTGGAGTTCACATCAATGTGCCTACAACATATATGTACCGCTGAGATATCTAGCTTATTTATAAGCTGTTTGTGATGTTACTCTGAGTGTGCATCCACACCAGGCAAGCATTGGACTAGTATCCCAAAGGCCGCGGGTTCGATTCCCACCGTGGCCAAGCAAACTTTTCAGCTTGCCCGGTGTGGGTACAATTCAGAAAATGTACTTACCAAAAGCGCGTGAACAAAGTTGTATAGCTATCTTGGGAAATGTTTGTCAGAACGGGATTGGATATCTTCTCTGAAAATTCTTAAATCACCAATTAGTCATAGTTTCCCCGTGTGTTTCGCTTGGTGTTGACCAATACCTTTCTTTTAGGTATGCACAGACAAAGCACAAGTTATCCAAAAAATTGTCAAAATGAAATTGCCACAAAAGCAACATGGTGTAATGTCATCATCCTGTACGCCCACTGGAGGATTTTGAGAACACAAATAGTTTTATAATTGCTACATGCAATTAAGTTAAAAAAGAACACTTGAGGTTTATACTTCTACGAATAACAATGCAAAACATGTTGCAAATACCATTTTCACTGTAAATTACATTTGTTGGATCAGTAACCTTACGGGGCAGCTTTACGCTTTCCATCTGCCAATTCTAAATAATTAGTAAAACGATTTGAAGGCACAGTTTAGCCATTTAAGGCGCATTGTTTTTAACATTTTAAAACATTTTTATTGTTAAAAACATTGAGTTTACTGATTTTGAATTGTGCATAATTGATTTCCTAGTTAGTTTTTTTAATTAAAAGGGCTGAAATGCGCCTTAAAAACCATCAATCAAAAGGCTGAACTGTACAAGTAAGACCTATACAAGGTTTTACTATACCCCTGAAGAATTTCTGTGGTAATTGAGTTCCCCTAATTAAAGAATTCCCGTTAATAGCATTTGCCCCTTCCCTAAGGAATCAACATTCTGCCCTGAAGAATTAGTGTAAAGTTGGAGACAGGAGTTCGTCCCGGGTTTTATTATAATATTTCATATATGATTATATAGTTTAGTGTTGAAGAGCAGGCAGAGGCCCTGTATTTTGCGTGCTAATCTAGGCCTCGCACGCGTTAGCCCGCAAAATACAGGGCCTCACCTGACACCTGCTCTTCAACACTGAACTATATATTTCCATATGTAATCATATATGTAATGTTACAATAAGACCCTGTGAGTAGGACACAATTTATTGTCGCCAAAATTGCTGTTGCCGTGAGTATGTTCCTTAATGTAGTCCTTTACGTAATGTAGATGTGTGTATATTATTTCGATTCTCTATAGTATATGTTCCAAAACAATTCATTGCTTGATGTTCAAGCACTCCTTGTAGTCCCGACAGGGGCTGATCTAGAAGTTGTCAGATTAGTCACGCGATTAATGTAAAAAAAGGCATAGAAAACAATTTGGATTGAGATTTTTAAATTGTTTACCAGCGCGCAAATGCTTCAATTCTGATCACGCAATCGCAAACTCTATCACACTCCAGCATACAAACTTCGATCAGTTTTTGCACATTGAGCCAGCGATTGATTAGTCAAACAATAAGTCAAATAAGCGGTATTCAAATGAAAATTGACTAATCTGCGTTATACGTTATAGTTCATGTAATTTGATTGGTCAAATTTTCTGTGATTACACATTACAGGTATATTGATTGGTCAAACCTATTTTGACTAATGATTGCGAAATTTTAACTAAAGCATGTGGATTTTTGACTAATCCTACAAATAGATAGTGGCTTGTGATTGGACTATTTGCGTAAAAGAGTTAAAGAACATCTCCTCTGATTGGCCTTCTAATCTTCAATTTTGAAGCATTAGGGCCATTTATACGAGCGAAAATAAGCCGCGGCGTAAATAAGTCGCGAACAGTCGTATAAACGGACAATTTGTTCGCGACTAAAATAAGACGCGGCCTAAATTAGCCGAGGTTTCAGAGCTCGCCAAAACAAGCCGCGGCTAATTTAAGTCGCGAAGTTCATGTATAAACGGTTTCGTGACTAAATTTTACATTGAAAATGGCGTCCAACACCGAAGTTCCTGCCGTTTATTGCAATACCAAGACTGGCTCTCTACCGTCTGTGGTCACGCCAAAAGATAAGCGAACGACCTGGCCACAGTCAAACGAGAGGCAGGAATCGTTTATTTCGGGGTTTTTCTACCTTGAATCGATAATGCCAATGCTATGACCAAAATATTTATTAAAGATAGGGTACAGTCCGGTCTGCGCATGCGCACACAGGAGTCGCCTGTCGTGATATAAACACTTTTAAGGTAATTCCGCAGTTTTGCATTGCGCACTTTTACTGCGCACATCTTATAACTTATAATTTCACCATTATACGTACCGCTTAACAAAAAAAATCATTTTATGACCATTTTATGTTACTTCAAAACATCTTTGGTTACATTCGTGCAAAGAATTACGTTAAAATCATGTTTTCAAAAAAGCATACAAAAGTGTAGTATATTTATTTACTTGTATTTCACGTTTTAATCCCCCAATTCCCTAAAAAGATCGGTGACCCCCGTTTTTTAACTGATAATTTATTTCTTTAATGCATTTTACATATCATCCGAAATTAAAAGAAAAATCATTTCTGGATCTTGAAAAAAAAAAGCTTTATCAATGCATGTTCTCAAAGAAAGATATGTAAATAAATGTGGAAAAGACACTTGGGGATCAGAATTATACACGTTAGTAGTTTTATTTTGCTCAAAACACAATATTTTTTCAAAAATAATCACAAGATTGGTTTACTACAGCAAAATCCGCGCTTAAAAAGTCAATAAATATCGGGCTGTTGTGATTTTGCTGTTACTCGTAATGAGCGTCAGGATGGCGCCATATTGGGGTAAAGGTGGTATATTGTGATTGTCATATCTTCTTAACGAGTTCGGTGACCCCGACTTTTTGTGTGATTTTACTTTAAGTATATGTATATCATAAACTCCATGCCTGGGAAGTTTCAGCACATTCTAATTTCGGGAACAATTACTGCGGAATTACCTTAATTAGGTTTTTATTTCATTTTATGTTCTTGCAAAGCCTGATTGTTGTATCTTGATCATTTTAATATTATACTGTAGAAGCATGAAAATATAAATAGTTGTCGAATAAAGTTCAATATTTTGAACACCGAAATGTAAACAAATGAAATGTAAACAAATTTAATCTACTATTCTCGAATTGAACGACATAGATTTCGAAAAGGTTAGATCGTTATTTGAAAATGACGATAAAGAAGGCTTACCATGTTCAGTGGAGAATATTTCAAGCAGATAAATTCTGCCTAATTTGTATCCACCTCTGACCTTCTGGCGAGGATGCAAGAAAATTGTTTTGGCCGAAACTATCAAGCTGAGATACTGATTCCTCGTCGTCTATTGGCAGATTGCAATCATTGCATTTATTTTTCGCACAGCTAAATTGTGACGCCCTGGAAATCGGTTTATACTGTATACCCCCTTCCCTGGAATTCCCTAGGAATTCATTGCCAGATACCCTTGGAAAATTGCTTTATCGCAGACCATCCCCTGGATTTTGGTCTCTAATCACCCACACCCCCTGGATTTCTGCGGTCTTTTTCACCCCTCCCCCTGATTTCCAAGGCCTTTTTACACCCCTCCCCTGGTTTTTCCAGTGTTCTCAATCCCCCCGTGCGGATAATAAAAACAAATCTGCCCATTCAGCTGCGCATGCGTTTAGACTCAACCGGATATAAACAGCACGTCGATTTGTTATGCATTTCCTGCTTGGAAGGTCAATCATTTCCGGTGTGCAATTCAAATATAACTCCTTATATGGTTTGGTTAGGTTTATGCACAGTTAATAGAAATAGGATCCCCTTCTATTAACTGTGGTTTATGGTAAGGGTTAGGATATTGTTGGTTGACTGGCTGATCAGGCTTTCCGGACGATCTGTAAAGCCTGGTGAAAGATTGAATCGAACCCTTGTAGCGATTGTTGACCCTGTATTTAATGAGATTTGGGTCATAGGTGGTAAAACATTCGTTTCACAACTGATCGCGTTTGGCAGGTTTGCTGATCAGCACTAGCGCCCGCTTAGTACTTAACCTGACACAACCAATCCTCACAAGTCGGCTTTAAATTTAAGATTTTTAAGAATCAATCATAATAATCTCGCTCAGAAATAGTAAATTAACAAAAAATAGAGAAAGCTGTAATTTATCCAGAAATATGAGAACAATTTCTTTGATGAATCATTTAAATAAAGCTTTTGAATGCATGAATGAACACGTACGAACACGAAAAAACATGAATACCGTACAGAGCTAAATCAGCAGCATATAGCTTTGTTCTACATTCAGTTAGTGCTCATTCAAAGACAAGCTGGCATTGAGTAAGGATCAAAGTTTACAGCGCGGTGGCAACATGAGTGGAACATTACTTTTAATCTTTACCAGCACAGCGTACTTGGTTCTGGAGACAAATGGTTTGGCTGCTGCTCCGAAAATCCAATACACGCATGGCGTAAGTCAATATTTAATTGCGCGCTAAATGGCACTATGTTTCATTGGTAGATTTAAGGCCGAGACACACCGGACGGCGGACGCGATTTGACAACGCGGCGCGATTTTTCGATTTTCACTGACCGATAATTAACTTTGATTCTGGCTTGAGTTTTTCAAATATTTAGCAGCGCTTTAACAATTTGAGTTATTTGGTCTACATATCTTTTAACATTTCCTTTCATTGGCTATTTTATTAACTTTCAAAAACTGAAAAATAGCGTCCGGAGTGTCTCGGCCTTTACAATGCGTGACTGCTAACACTCAGCAACTCCTCGTTTGACCGGGACTTTTCGCTGTTGAGGATTCCCTGCCTTTAACCGTGTAGAGATAAGAAGTATCCATGTAATAATATTATAATGTACAAACTAAGTTAAATAAATTTGTGTGCTCAGCTCGAATTCGCCTGCATTGTTTCATGTGTTCATTCAATGAATCCAACTGTGGGCGGTAATAATTTAACGCTGGATATATTACCCTCGGTTAAAATTTAATCTGCTGTTTTAGTTTATGTATTTCTGCACGTCTATTTGTTTCAAAACCTCAGAAGAAGAAAACTCCTACCGATCCAGACAATATTCCTAAAGACATATAATTTCCAAATTTATAAACACGATGTTGGGAAGTTTTCTTTGAATTTTATAACCTGGCTTTTAAACAACTGGCCCCTGTAGTACTGCTTTCATGTTTCAAAAAATGGAGGGGATTATTAAGCAATCATTAAGTATCCGTTGTTTCTTCCGGACTAGTTGATCTTGAAAGATCTCGCTAGATTGGCACACGGATCGATATCAATGAGGTTACTCTTATCATGTGAAATAATATACCGATATACCGCAGCTACTGTATTTCATGTTGGAGCCATATACATGACCTAATAGTATGATCGTAGTAATCAACTCAAGTACAGATTACTAACATTACCGCATCATTTCAACACTGCAGTTGCGAAGAACTTTCCAGGTAATGAATATACAAAAATATTGGGAAGTCAGCCCCTTCCTTCCCTTCCCCAAACTGACATTACGTGTTTAACAAGGGGCTGAGCCCCCTGAGCCGCCCACCTCTTCTACACCCCTGAGTAGTGATAAGCGACACACTTTTCAGTAATGCGCATACTTGTACCAAATTTACCCGTGCGTGGACGTTTGAAAACTCCTGTTTTCGTCCGTTGATGAAAGATGCAACAATTTTATCTTCATACATCTAGCAAAATCCTTATGATCCAGGCGTATGTAATTCTCTGACTAAAGGCGATTTGAGGATGGTGAAAGACAGAAATCATCTCAATAAACTTTTACTCTGTATCAAACAAGCAACGCACTTTTACTGGAAGATGATGTCTAACTCAGGTATTAATATACTTCTTGTATGTATAGAACTAAGTTTTTTTCTAAAAGGGTTTTAAATACTTGTAATGTACAACTCTAAAGGTTGTAACATGTAGTGTTTTTCACATGTAGGAAATTCATACGGCAACTATTTTGACCCAGCCAAAGACTGTTCGTCCATACTGGACAAAATTCCCGATGCCAAAACTGGAGTATATTGGATTAAAACTGACAATGGACCGAAAAAGGTAGAGAATATGTCATGGATAAATAGTTTTGGCTCACATGTTGACTGCTTATCCTTATGCAAATGATTCCGGCTTATCCGTATTTATAATGAGCTTATTCGGATTTTTACTATAAATTGTACAAAACATGAACCGTTATCCGGATTTTGAAGCAAAAGATTTTCGAGCCAGTGATTTTTCTCGGTTGAGTAGCCAATCTGAATGTTGGATTTTGTGATGGACCACGGTTGAGTGTATACTGACAATAATTAAGAACTGATATAAATCAGTTAACTCATATTCGATAGCTCTGTTCTTCTTCATATAGGCTTGGTGTGATTTGGTTACAGACGGCGGGGGATTTTTTTGATAGGTGTTCAAAATTCATCAAGAACCATGGATGTTCCTTCTGATTCCACACTTGTCCATCCACTGGACCTCAGACACTGGTCCAGCAGCTTTGGCGAGAAAAAGATTTTGGACTTCAGAGTGCAAATTGCAACCCCTAAAAGCTGGTCCGACACAAAAGCGCACTGGTATATTTTGTTCACCTTCGGGAAACGTAGCTAGGAAATATTCTTTCGTGATTTGTCCACCTTTAGGAAACATGGCTAGGAAACATCTCTCCTTGTTTGCCCACCATTGGGAACCATGGCTGGGAAACAATGTTTTTTTTTGGTTTGCCCATCTTTGGGAAACATGGCTAAGAAACATTGTTTCTTGGTTTGCCTATCTTCAGGAAACATGGCTAGGAAACAATCTTTCCTAGTTTGCCCACCTTTGGGAATTATTGCTAGGAAACAATTGCAACATTCCCTGGTTCGACCACCTTCTAGAAACATGGCTAGGAAACAATGTTTCTTGATTTGTCCGTCTTCAGGAAACATGGTTAGTAAACAATGTTTCCTGGTTTGTCCACATTCGGGAAACATGGCTATAGTAAACAATATTTCCTGGTTTGTCTACTCATTCGGGAAACATGGGTAGGAACTGATGTTTCCTGGTTAGACCACCTTTGGAAAACTGACCAGAAAACAGTATGTTTCCACAACATTGTTTAAAATGAAATCTTAACCTTTCTAGGTACTATCGTTTCAATACGCCAAGGAAACTGTCAAACCTTCTTCTCTTTAATCATGGAGACTGCGACAGCCATCATCCCGGTGTCGGGGACGTGAAATTTGTGAAAGATCTCCAAGACAATGTTGTGGTCACAAAAAAATTTGAATGTTCGCGCTTTGATGTTCATTTTCACAAAAGCCTGGGATGGGTTAGTACAAATAAAATTGGGGAACTAGTGCAATAAATATTCTACAATAAACTACGGTGATTCGTGTCTGGACTACCTGAAAAAGACTAAAACCACTTCGATGAATTATCTAACTTATTTTTAGCATGACAAAATTACTGGATGCTGATTGGTTGAGAGGAGTACAATTATTTCATTAATTGTACTGCAGTACAATTAATGATTTTCCTAAAGGTATTTTGAACATAAATGTGAAATGAAATTGCCCTTGAGGAACTAGATGAAAATATAAACAAAAGCACCAAATTTTGCTTTAACAAAAGAACTAAATGAAAATAAGAACAAAAGTATCAAATTTTGGTTGAAAGTCTGGCAGGACTGAGCTTTGGCCAGAGAATATGATGTTGACGGAGAAGTATCCAATTTTGTCATGCATATGCTAATTTTACCTATACATATAAAGTAAAATAATAGTACATATCTTTAGGGTAAAATGAATGAATGCTTTCGAACTCCGTGCAAAGCTGGTTTCAATTATCTTAAGTTGGCAACTTCAGGAGCTTTTAGGTAAAAATAACTTAAATTTTAAATTTTAAAGAATCTGGAACGATCCATTTAATGTCTTCTTTCAATCTTAGTTTCAGTGTGGAATCAAGTAAATCTGGGATAATGAATAATTCCACAAAATATATCGGATGTGAAAAAGACAAGGTAATTCTTCCCATAGCCTATCGAAGGAAAGTTGGCTGTGAAACTCATTAGAATAACTCATTATTTTTGTTAGTCAACGTTTATTCATAAATATGGTCCTTCACCGTCACGTGTGTATTGTATTTTTTCCCAACTAACCAATAGCAATGTTTAAGGAAAGTTACCTATCCGTGACTCGAACAATAGGGTAAATTGGAAATTGCTATTGGAGGATTTGACACAAATACAATATACACGTGACGGTGAAGGACCATATTTATGAATAAACGTTGACTAACATAGATAATGAGTTATATTGTTATTCTAATGAGTTTCACAGCCATCTCCCCTTCGATATAGGCTATATGTTCTTCCTAATCCTTGCAATGCTCAATTATCCTAAACATAATCCTTGTGACGTAGTTCAGGTCAATCCTAAATGTCCTAAGTATCCTAAATCTTTATTGCATAACGTCAGAATATGTCAAAACAATGAATGACTGGATGGCATGGAGAACAGTGGGGTTTACAAAACAATGAAAAGGTAATGGAACATTCTGATCACTGGATCATGACTGGATGGTATTAATTACCATGCAAGGCCCATATAAAACGTTATTCTAGCTTAAGAACGAGGTTGGCATGGGTTGATTTTTGTTATAGTGTTGCGCATGCTACGGGCCCTCCAGTGACAAAGATTACTGTGCCCCAGGCTGCAAGGCAATCAACGGAGGGACAGTACTGACAGATGACGACACCGAGATCCATGCGTGGTACTGGATACGAACCTCGTTACCAAAACGAGTTTGGAAGAAATGTATGGAATATGAGAAAATTGGCGACGGAGGGAAAACTGTCAAATGGCATATAGATGAATATACCAAAGTTCCTCAACAGGTACATACTTAGTCTCCCTCGCAGCCACTGTTTGTGGTACATACGTACTGGGCTATGGTTGCAAACAAAGAAACCAACTGATTGGCTGAGCTTATGTCCATGAGCATATCAATTTTGAAACTATATTTTCCTACTTATAGGGGCCTTGTTCGTATCCAGGAGATGTGAGATTTAATGATGGAGTACGTACCATGTCATTTTAATGAGTTGTAATTTTATTCAACACACTATTGTTCATACTATACACGTGACAACGCACAAGTTGTTACAGGTCTGTAAACATGTTGTTACAAATCTGTTCACAAGCTGTCGACAAGTTGTGTTCGCAATGCTTGCTCCCATTTGTTGTAACAAGTTTGATGGCATTATCAGATTTGTTACAAGTTGTTCTAACAAGCCTGATACAGTCATGATATAACAAGAATGTTACAAGCAAGTTGGCGACACAAAGTTGTATAGTAACATTGTTATATGTAACAGACATGTTGGAACACGACTGTAACAGACTTGTTGGAACAACCTTGCAACAAGTCTGATCATATCAACAAGTTGTTACAAGTTGTTAACAGCTTGTTCCAAACTTGTTGACAACTTAGTACAAGCAGTGCTAACACAACTTGTTGATGTCATGTTGATAGACTTCCTACAACATGTGAGATTTGATACAAGATGACGTGTGGTACTATCACGATTATTGTGTTATTTATTGACGATATCGATTGCCACGTAAACTTCTCAGGTTGCAGTGGTTGATAATAAAGAAACATTGAAAAAACTGCCAAATATCGAGGGCCTTCTATCTTATCGAACTGATAACAAAGATTTGTTACTGAGAGGAAAACATTCCTGGAACAGCATGGCGAAGCAAAACCAGGTGAGAACTTGGATATGTTTAAAACTTGCAGGGAGACGAGCAGATTACTACATTGTCAAAATGTTTTGTAACAATCTTTTCAACAGGTTGAGCGACTACAAACGGAAATGTCTGAGCTTTCTTCAAAGCTGTTTAAGTTGGAACAAAGTACGACATATACAGTATTCATGGATACTATGAAATGTTAAAATAGCTATGAAATATATCACAGTGCAATAAGTTGCACTAATTCAGTTATTATGATTCACCGTTTCTAGAGAACAAAATCTATTCATCATGCAAAAATGCTCTGGAAAGAATCGGGTAGGGTATTTAGTACAACTAGATAATATATTTTATGTTTCATGAGCAAGATAATTAGAACAAATAACTTCATTTCATTCTAGTGATGCCACGCATGGTGTGTATAAAATTAAAAGTTCCTCGGTTGTCAAAGCCGGCTATTCCAATGTATATTGTCACATGACATCGATGCCCGGATGTTCAGGTGGAGGATGGACTTTAGTGATGAAAGTCAACGGAAGAAAGGTGAATGACTACTTAAGGTGGCGAACTGCTGTTTTTTAAAGGCTTGTTATTGTTGCTGTTCCTGCCTTTGTTGCTGTTGTTGTTGCTGCTGTTGTTGTTGTTGTTGTTGTTGTTGTTGTTGTTGTTGTTGTTGTTGTTGTTGTTGTTGTTGTTGTTGTTGTTGTTGTTGTTGTTGTTGTTGTTGTTGTTGTCGTTCTTGGTGCTGTTGTTGTAATTTTCGAGCTGTAAATAATATAGATGCTTTTTTTAGGAAACATTTTATTATGGTTCCAGTTACTGGAGCAACAAGGCAACATACAATCCAGGAGGAGGCCTGACTGGATTCGATGACCAGGAAACAAAACTGGCAACATACTGGAACACACCTTTCAAGGAAATATGTTTAGGAATGAAAGTCAACAACGACATAAATTTTATATCAATCTCATATCAAGCATCTTCTTTGTACGACGTAATTGCAGATGGCACTTATCATGGTACCAGCATTGGACGATCGAAATGGCTGTCTTTGATACGAGGTTCTGGTTTGCAATCACACTGCAACCGTGAAGGATTTAACGTATATTCACCTAACCCAGTTATTGCTCGACCACAGGTAGCCCGCATAGGAATAATAGGAAATCAAGAAAATGAGTGCAAATCCCCGGATTCGTACTTTGGATTTGGTGGTCTCGCCGAACACAGCCGTGCATATTGTGGGATCATGCCAAAGGCAAAGACATCAAACACATGTGGCAATTCCGCTTACTGCTCGCCTCCGGGTGGAAACAAAGAAATACCTGCAATGGGTTACATTTTTATTCGTTGAACACTTTATATCTTTTCATTAACTAGGCTATAATGTTTTACCTTTGGTACTTGTGACATTTTTGTCACACTGATAATGGCACATAAAATACCAAATATGTAATGTAATGTAACCAACATTAGTGAGCACGCTAATATTAGACAACACTGCTTCGAGAATCTAAAAAAAACTACTTTTTTGCACAAGCCATTTTTCCTCTTATATAAAAGAGTAATTTAACCCACAATCGCTACTCTTCACGTTACCGTGACAACATGACGTCACCATCTATATGGCTTATATCAACCAAAAAAGCCGTCTTAAGCCGTCTTAAGATTGCATTTTATCCTTTGGACAGTAGTTACCAGCACCTGCCTAAAATCGTCCACAAAATATTTGAGACAATTCCCCCTCCCTCATTTCAATGTTGCTTTGTGCTGTAAAATTGTTTTATTCAAATATCATGCATTAGATTTTGAATGCCAACAGGACACTTGCGGTTGTTGGGTCACGTTAAATTTCTGTTAGGAAGATAATAGCATTTCAACATTGAAACAGGGGAGGGGGGGTGCATTCCAAAAATCTCAATATATTTTGTGGACGATTGTAGTCATGGTCAAGTATTTATGGTGTTAGTGTTGAGTAAATATCAGGATTTTGGGGATCTACAGTCGATAACTAATTTGTTGAGGGTTTTTGTAGATGGAAATTTCGAGTGTAATTTTTATACATTTATTAGACCTAACCAGGAGCTGTTGCGAAAAATGCAACTATCGACCCTCTAGCGGGAATCGAACCTGCGGCCCTGCAATTCCGGTGCAGCGCATGCTTGCATTACCTTGAACTTGCGGTTGGAGCTCGACAGCTGGCCTCTGTGGCTCGGTACCCGCAGCAGCTTCTTTGCAACTCCGTGAATTGTTGGGTTTTTTTAATGAAAAATAAATGTTACAAGAGAAATATTAGAACTAACATGCAAGTACTTGAGACGTTTCTGGTGTTGGTGATTGCGTTCGTGATTCATCCTTCACGTCAGTCCTTCCACGTCTGAATATGGATACACTCATGGCGAACAGTCCGCTGTCCACAGGTTCCATCGCAGTGTTGTCGAGCAACAGTTTCGTGCCAAGCTGATAATGAAACAGAATGCAATAAGTACGTATGTGTTTGCTTTATGTTGCAAACAACACCTAATTTTCTTTACCTAGCCCCCACCCCCTTTTAATAACCCCCCACTCCAGAAGTACCAAAAAAGAATAAGTCCCCACCCTCTGTTTAGGCCCCATCTTCAATTAGCTAAATCAATCTCGATATACGGCTACCGCGAAATACTAACACTTAAAAATTTGAATTGTTTATTTAATTAATTGAGAGCAATAATTTAAACATCTTGTTGTTTGTCGAAATATGCGAGGTGGTTAAATATCGTGGGTATGCAGGGGGGGGGGAGGGGGGAGCGCACCCCGCCTGGTGGTGTCTAACATTCTCCTAGAAAAGTCCAGCACCGCCTTAAAAAGTATGCTTGACCATACATTTTCTGCTTTTCGAATAGCGATTAGCGGAACTTGTACTGTTAGCGCGTGTCGATTTCTTGAAACGATTTAATTGATTTGTGCGCTTGCGAGAAAATACTCAGAATGCTTTAGGTAAATATCATGTTTAAATATGTAAACATGTCGAGGTTGTTATGCAGCCATATTTTCAAATATACTGTACATTAACAAGCGAATTTACACTCTGCTACAGCAACTGTCCAGTCACGCACACGTGTTAAATAGTTGATATAAACTTTATAAACGAAACATAATGTAAAACATAACAGAACGGCGAACATGCAGATTCGGCCATCTCAAATTAATAATGGTAATGTCAGGATAGTAGCGTTGCAGACTGCAGAGGAGAGTGGGAAGCAAGGCTCCCTCATGAACCCCTCCTTGCAGATGAGGCTAGATCCGCCCATGGTGTGTTCAAGGTCTTCTTTGGAGTTAACCTGCCTCTTCTTCTGGCACTACGGGACTATCTTGAGTATAAAGTATCTAAGTAAGACCCCAGTTAGACAACTAGAATAAGCCAGCGGGCTAAATACGGGAAATACGACAAATAAGTGTAAAATACCTTTGTTGTAGTGTGCCTACGGAGTTGCTTGCGAATGTGAAAATCTCTACGAGCACATAACGCGCGACGACACGGCCCTATGTCATTGACAACACTTGCTCTTTCCTTCAATTTTCTTGCTTCAGCCGCAATCAATGCACCGATTTTTAACTTCCTCTGTCCTGAGGCAAGAAGTAAGTCTTTCATTTCTTTATCAGGAGCGTCCTGTGAGCATTTCTCTTGCACTATCTTTGTCAGTGTGGGTCCAGCAAGGGCTGAGGAAATCCCGATGCGCGAAAATATATTTCCAGCTGAAAAACGCTTGATGTAGTCCCCGGGTTCTGATGCTACATGAGGAAAATAAGAAAGAATTGATGGTATGAGGTGTAGAAATCTTAAGCAGCGCTCTCGATCGCGTCTGACTGCAAACGCTCATCAACTCTCATGCACTTACAGTTTTTGCTACGCGCGCAGTAATATCTAGTCACAATTCTCATCAACATGCACTCGAGCAACTCTTTTTCTCGTTTGACATGAAAGTTAAGAAAACTCTTATGCAAACTCTCGCTTCCTAACTCTCATCAACGCTCGTTTGATCAGAACTTTACTTGGAGTGTCCAAAGGTAATTGAGTTGCAACATTTGCTGAAAATTTATTTTCAGGATGTCCCAATCGTGAATCCAGTACATACATAACACTCAATGGGAATATCCAAGCTTCACACATATACCCTTTTATAATGACGTCATTTCACTACATCTACCAGAATTATAGCACGTATTGAGAAAAACAATAAAAACAGACAAAATGTAGTGTTTTAAGAAAGTTTGAGTTTCACCCTCGTACTGTCTTGGTGTAAATGTGACATACGTGACCATATGACTGGTCATCTGACCAATAAGGAATTTTATTTATGCTCTAATAATATACATGAAAAAATTTCTCAATTTTCATTGGCTAAGAGCAGTGCAATGTTTTCGAAATACAGTGCCAAAAAATGAAATACAGTGCCAAAAAATGAAATACAGTGCAAAAAATGAAATACAGTGCAAAAAGTGAAAATGATACAAAAAACCCAAACAATACGAGTGACAAAATTTTCTAGTAAAATTGTTAATATTAAAATTATCTATTTCACATGAGTGCATAATTTTTTCAAGTATATTATTAATAAGTAATAGTACGGTTTCTCGTGGAATTTGGAAAAACATACACACGTGAGTTTTTTGATCGTCTTTGAAAAACTCACTCGTGCATGTTTTTCCCCAAATTGCACTCGAAACCACACTATTGCCTATACAAAATATGTTTGCATTGAAATCACAAGGAACACGTAAAGAGATGATATTCAACATGCCAAGTTTCATCAGGAATGAGTGACATTTGGCATCAGAAAACTATTTGAAACATCATTGTTTAACACAGTTCCCCAGACATTTTTACAAATCCTTCAAAACTTAGAATTTACCCTGCACGCACATTGATGTGAACTCCAATTGCACGAAACCATAGATATCTTAAATGCACGAAACGGAGTGTGCCTGTATAACAATCCCTCAGAGTTAGTGTCATCACTTACATTCAGGCGGTAATTCCAGATGTAAAGTAATTCATCATCACAGGGACTATTTGATTAACTATAGGTATATTTGCTGTGTTGGTGTAATGTACTCAGGTGAATAAGATGCTTGTGTGATGTTACTCTGAGTGTATATTCACACCGAGCAGGCTTGAAAAATATGCCTGGCCACGGTGGGAATCAAAGTTTATTTTATCAATTGCTGTAACTACAATTCATAACATCGGTTGCTTCTTCGAAAATGAAGCTTAATTTCCTAAAATAATATACACTTAATGTCTGCTCCCGAAGGAAATAGTTAGTTTCGTTTTCCCAAGAGTCTCAATCTAATTGTAAAAACCTTTGACAGATATTCTGTATCGTTCTTGCTACAACAAATATTCCATTTTATTTTAAACAAAATTTATTATGCATGCCGCCATCTCGGATATGCATATCATAGCTCTAAACATGACGCAACAATCATTCGTATGTTTAGCAATTTCTTGTGATATTATAACCTAGAATTTACCCATGCGAAATTCCTACCTTGATCACAGAATCTTTGAAAGTGTAAACCAGCCTTACCAAGCCAGACATGATAAACTATAATAATTATGATCTTACCCTTTTCTGATTTTCTTTCTAAAACACTCCAGTCGACGTCCTCTATATCAAGCGTTTGTGTCTTTTCTTTGACTTTACTCTCCTGCTTATCATCAGCAATTATAGCTTCCAACTCATCATCACTGATGGGATCATACACATCTTCAAATGAGCCATCATCAACTTTGTCCTCTTCGTCCTTGACCTTCACATCCTTACTCTTCTCTTGTTTTTCTTCAGTCCTGGGAGCGCCATCTGGTTTATCTAATGCATTCACCTCACTTCCATCACTCCAATCACTGAACACCTAAACAATGACAAAAGCTTGACTTGATAGATTGCCGAGATGAAAGCGGACTTAGTTGCAGAGATGAAAGCTGACTTGGTTGCCGAGATGAAAGCTGACTTGGTTGCCGAAATGAAAGCTGACTTGGTTGCCGAGATGAAAGCTGACTTGGTTGCCGAGATGAAAGCTGACTTGGTTGTCGAGATGAAAGCTGACTAGGTTGCCGAGATGAAAGCTGACTTGGTTGCCGAGATGAAAGCTGACTTGGTTGTCGAGATGAAAGCGACTTGGTTGCCGAGATGAAAGCTGACTTGGTTGCCGAGATGAAAGCTGACTTGGTTGTCGAGATGAAAGGACTTGGTTGCCGAGATGAAAGCTGACTTGGTTGCCGAGATGACAGCTGACTTGGTTGTCGAGATGAAAGCTGACTTGGTTGCCGAGATGAAAGCTGACTTGGTTGCCGAGATGAAAGCTGACTTGGTTGCCGAGATGAAAGCTGACTTGGTTGTCGAGATGAAAGTAGACTTGGTTGCCGAGATGAAAGCTGACTTGGTTGCCGAGATGAAAGCCGACTTGGTTGCCGAGATGAAAGCACCATGACATATCGTCGTATACTATTATTATAGTTGGGAATTGACTTATTTTGATATAATCAGATATGGTGGGAAAATTAAGAGAAATTTCATTACAAAATGTCAAATCCCGTGGATATGCCCTATATCCTCTCCCAGGGGCAAAGCAGAAACACGTGCTCATCAACAATAACATAAATACCTGCTCATCAGATTTCTTCTCTGTTTTCGCAGTCGGCAATGTTTCAGTTTCCTTCGCGCTGCCCACCTCAGCCTTTTGTGTTTTAGCGTCACTCTCTATATCAGAATCAAATTTCTTAGTAGTTTCAGTTTCTCCTTCAAACTTAGCTTTCTTAATTTCTTTGTCTTTCGAAGTTTCGCGGGCTCGCTTACGCTCTGGTGTGGCGCCGGCTGCCTCAGTAGTACCAGTCTCTTCTTCCGATGACCTTCGCTTTTTCGTTTTCTTCCCTTTGTCTACAACACGAAACAAAGTCCGAAAATAAACATGTTGGAAAATTCAAGATATGGATTAGAACAAGTCTTAGACGATAGGCAACACTGGGCGAGTTTCGATTACACTTCTAAATCACCATTTCATATAGACATATACCGATTTAATTTCATTTCAAGATTACAGTGAGACTGTGATATCGATTTCATTTCAAAATTACATGAGACTGTGATATATCGATTTCATTTCAAAATCACCATCAGAATGTGATATATGGACTTAATAATTTCAAAATCACCATAAGACTATGATTTATCTATTTCATTTTAAAATCATCATCAGACTGTGATATATCGATTTCATTTCAAAATCACCATCAGACTGTGATATATCGACTTCATTTCAAAATCACCATCAGACTGTGATGGTGATTTTGATCACAATCAATATTTGGATTTCTCAAAACATCTATTTCGCAACTTTGTTTCGTCTACAATTCAGCTGCTACTGGTTCTTCCTTACCTTTGTCCTTCTTCCACCTCTTGTTGTCTTTATCATCTTCTTTTGAAGCTGGTTCTTTTTTCTCAGCAACTTCAGAAGATTTCTCTGC